ATTTTAACCATAGTGCCAACTCCTCTACAGGAGTAGGTTGGTCCTGGTTTCAATGGCTGATTTCCAATGAGAAGGGGGCTTCAGCTGATATTTCTGCATTGGCTCAATTGCTAGGAGCCAAAACCTGGCTGGCTAATGTTTCTGGCACTGTTAGGAAAAGTGAACGAGGTAATAGGCTCACATCTGTTTCGCTCAACTCTTTGCTATATAATGCCACATTGCCTCCTGCAATGGTCTGCGTCCAATCCCCGTTCTTGCTCCTTTTGGCTAATAATACCTCATCGGGGATGCTGGATTGTTCTAGTGTTACCTGTCTCTTATCTGAGTGTTGGAATGGTTCTTGGACTGTAGCAGTGGTTATGAAAATTCCAACCTTTGTCCCAATCCCAGTCACTGCGGACCCAGATAAATTCCCCATTGTTGAACTACTTAGAGTCCATAGAGATTTTGGAATTACGGCAGCTATAGTGACAGCTGTGGCAGTGTCTGCTGCTGCAGCAGTTACAGCTGGAGTAGCCATGGCCAGTCAAGTACAAACTGCTGCCACTATTAATCAAGTTGTTCAACAAACTTCCACCATACTTGAATCCCAAAATTCAATTAATCAACATATTTTGTCAGGGATTTTAGCTGCCAACCAAAGGATAGATTTACTTCAAGCTCAGGTAGAAGAATTGGCTGACTTAGTGCTTTTGGGTTGTGTTGATCAACGTGCACATTTATGCATAACCTCTGTCAGATTTAATGATTCCAGAAATGCCTCCCGCATCATTGGCGAATATTTGGCCGGAAATTGGTCCATGGCAGCGGAAGACATGATCCAGTCTCAACTAACTCAGATTGCTGTTTTGAATAGTACCTGCGTTGAACCAGTGACTTTGGGTCAATTCACCGATTGGATATCTTCTGCTTTTTCCTTCTTCAAAGAGTGGGTGGGAGTAGGCATTTTTGGTGCAATGTGTTGCTTCAGTGTTATACTTTGTTTGTGGTTTCTCTGTCGCCTTAAAACTCGCCATGCACAAGAAAAGGCTATGATCATACAAGCTCTTGCAGCTTTAGAAAATGGCAACTCACCTCAAGTCTGGCTTGCGCATCTTAAACAGTAAACCTTTGTCATGGTCGTTGCACCCCAAGTTATTATAACATTGCACTGGGATCGACATGACTTTCCTTGTTATTCTCTTAGTGTTGGAAAGCCCTTGCACTCTGCCGGTCTTGCTGCCATTGCACGCAGATGGGTTTTCACACTAGTGCTTTTCTATCGCTTTAAAGTCCGTGCCTTTCTTTCAGGGTGCTGTCAACTTGTTTGTCATTAATGCAGCCACAGTTCAGCCTCAGCTATCCCCCTTCGTCCACCATCGTCACGATACAGGATGCGAGGCAAGGCACTGCACTTGAGTGATCCTTGACGTGGACCTCAAGGAGAGCATGTCCTATTGCATGCGGGTTAGACGCGTCCACGCCCCGCCCCACGAAAAAAGGCGTCGGCTGATATGGCCTCGGATCTGGGGAAGGGCCCTCCTTAGGACTGAGCCATACTATGCAGCCACTTCTGCACAGTGGGATAGGACCTCTACTCTCGCCTGTATTGTTTTAATAAAACAGAAAGGGGGAACTGTGGTGAGCCGCTTCTGCCGTTTCTGCAGACTATGGTCGCCATTACGAGATGGCGCTGGCTCCGCTGTGGTATGTGACAAACAACTCCTTATCTGAGAGAGTTGGCACATGATTTTCACCACCCTGTGAGAAAGTTCCACGCGGCAGCTTTGCATTGGGGCTTGGGATGCTTTATTAAGGCTGGGAGGGCATCCGGGAAGGAGAGAAGAAGAAAGAATAATAAATATCAAGGGACCTGAATAAACTGCTGAGAGAAGATTCCTGAGTGTTGCGTCTTCCTTGCGGGCAAGGGGTCGCGACAGCTCTTCCTATAGCAATAAGGCCTATTTAACTTGTCTCCAAACTTTTACATAGGGACTGACTTTATTAGAGTCATTTGGGAATCTTCAAAAATAAACAAATCTTTCCCTACACTCTTCTCACTTATAGGCATTTTTTCAATATTCAGATTAATTAAGGATAAGGTGTGACTCAGGAATCTGTATAAAAAGCAAATGAAACCTCCCACTCTCAAGGTGATTTGGAAGTATAGGGAAGTTGTGCCAATACTTCCTATACTTAACTCCAGAGCCTTCTTAATTTTTCAGAAAGACTGCACATTTATTTATATATCTTGTCTGACTTACCCTCTTGGTTTTAATAATAATTGAATGGCTAGATGAGAGGACATAGAGAAGTTTTGGAAGATAACATGTTGGAAGGAGTTTCAGTTCTGCCTTTGAGAAATACAAGAGTAAACTTCTTCTGACATTCAAACTGAAGACCCAATGTAGGATTTTCTTGCTTCTAATTAGTGTAAAGCACATGAGAGTTGGAAATAAATAGGTCTACTTTTTGAATGTACTTAGATGCTTGAACAAATCTGTACATACTGTAAACCAATTTTGTCATGAATTATACTTTCCTCAAAGCCTACTTTAAAAGAACAATAAACTTTTAAAATACTTAAATAAGTCTTTATTTGGAATAAGCTGGATCTCAAGTAAGGTAACTGTGTTTTAAAAATCATATTCTTTTCATTTTAGTATTTGGTAGTTAATATTGGTTTCTAGCAGTATCTTTTATTTTGTTTTTAGAATTTGGGATGAAGTTTCCATGGCAGATGATGAGCCATTTAAAATGTACAATTTAGTGGCATTTCTTCCACTAAATGTTTTCTGTTGTATGCTATATAGATTGGCATTTCTTCCATAGATTCCACAATTTATAGTTGTGCTATTGTGAAACCATCATATGTGTGTGTGTGTGTGTGTGTGTACGCACGTGTGTGGTTGTTTTTTTTTTAGAATTTTTTATTTTATTTGTTCTTTTTTAGATATACATGACAGTAGAATGTATTTTGGCATACTATACATACATGGAGTATAACTTATTCTAATTAGGATCCTATTCCTGTGGTTGTACATATTATGGAGCAACCCTGCTTGTGTATTCAAACACAAGGCTAGGCAATTTATGTCCGGTTAATTCTACTGTCCTTCCTATCTGCCCCCTCCTTCATTCCCCCTTGTCTAATCCAATGGACTTCTATTCCTTTCCCCATCCTCCCTTGTTGTGGGTTAGAATCCACATGTCAGAGACAATATTCAGCCTTTGTTTTTTTAAAGATATTTTTTAGCTACACACGGACACATTATTTTTTATTTTGTTTATTCATTTTTATGTGGCGTTGAGGATCAAACCCAGTGACTCACATGTGCGAGGCAAGTGCTCTGCCACTGAGCCACAACTCTGGCCCCTCAGTCTTTGTTTTTTTTCGGAAGATATTTTCTTAGCAAAAATTTCTTCTTTGTTCTGCACACTCTCTCATGTATCAATTATTTATTCAGCATTTTCTATTTCCGACGTGCTGTATATTTAATTTAGCTTGTATGATCATTTAATTTAATCCTTATGGAAATTCTATGGAGCCAACTTTTTAAGTCATATTTTGTTAATGAGAAAACATGCTCATGGAATTTAATCAATTGTTTAAGATGATTCAGTTAGTAAGAGATGGAGCATGAAATAAAATTCAGATTGATGTGAATGACAACTCCATACTTTTAACCCAGAAAACATTTTGATTTCATAAGAAATTAATAATAGAAGCTAAATAAATTTCATTCCTTCTGACTTTATGGGACTTCCTATTTTATGAAAATATTTAGTTAAAAATATGTATCTTCAAAGATGTAATGAGTTCCTTGAAGGAAGGGAAACTTTTTGTTAGTTCAAAAATTAAAAATAGTAATGAAATCACAGAATTATAACATCAAATTTATTTTTCATCTTGGATTTAACATTTTAGATATTAAAATATTAACATTATTAGCATATTATCTATGTGCCTTTTAGCATTTGATGTTAAGCATTAATACTTATAGAAAAGCAAATCAGAGCCTATGCAATACTGAGTTTTGGCCCTACTTATTTATAGTAATGTCTTGTATTTTATTAACAATATATACAGGGAAAAATCACATCTTGTAAGGGAAGTTAATTTTATACTTCAACTGAAGTGCTTCTATATAAACAAAATAATTCATTATTTTAAGACTGTCAAAAGTTGTCTTAGAGCTTGTCAAAAAGGAAACTCTCAGAATCCAGAGATTAGCTGTTTGTAGTAGGAGAGAGAAGTTGAGTTGTGTGTGGCTAGTAAAGGCGATCAAATTTAATATATCATTTGGATGACATTCAAGATTGGTGCTGCATTCTACTGTATAAAATCATGATACCATATTTCCTAAGTTTTTAAATATAGCAGAATATTTTAAGAGATCCAAATTAAATTACATTCTGTGGTGGGGAAGGGAGTTCACTCAATTTCTCATTTCTAAATTAAAATAACTTTATGTGTTTGCATATTTGTTTACTTGACTAATATTTATGTTTTTAGGAAGTTTGAGTCATTGTAAATATTGTTTTTCATATTCCCTTTCACTTAATCCTCACAATAATCCTTTATAGTAGCTATTATTAGTCTTTCCACGTGACAGGAGGACTTTTGACTCATCCAAAGTGTTAAGTAGTTATTAAGTAGTTATCTTAGATTCTTTTAGACTCAAAGAGATAAAACTAGGGCTCAGGCCATCACAGTCAATGGCATAAAATAACTGGGTCACATCACTACCTGAAACATCCTTTGCCCATCCACATTTCTCATATAACACTGACACTGAATTTAGTAGAACCAACCTAAACAACCTCACTTTGGTTGCACATAGGGTACTTCCAAATGTGAAACTATTTTGTCAGATACTCTGCCAATAAATCTCAATTAGCATATTTAAACAGCACATTTAAAAATATTAGCATAAGTTTTTCAAAGGGAACTTCAGGAACCAAGAGTTGATCAACACTTTCCGCAGGTTTGTCATAATGCTTTCATTTTTCTCAGATAGGTCTCAGCAATGAAGAGTGGCCAAGTAGGAATTACTCAGAATTGACAGAGTTTATTCTCCTCGGATTCAGGACATCTCCGGAAGTACAGGTTTTCTTATTCTTACTGTTCTTGCTTATCTATCTGGTAATTGTATTGGGAAACATCAGCATGTTAATCGTTATTAAAATCGACTACAGACTTCATACACCTATGTATTTCTTTCTTAGAAATCTATCTTACTTAGATCTCTGCTACTCCACAGTCATTGCACCCAAAACTCTGGCTACTTTCTTGTCCAAAGAAAAGAAAATTTCCTACAACGGGTGTGCGACACAGTTCTTTTTCTTTGCCCTTTTTGTTGGGACTGAAGGTTTCCTTCTGGCTGTGACGGCATACGATCGCTTCTCAGCCATTTGCTCACCTTTCCTCTATACTGTGCGGATGTCTCAGCAGGCTTGTGTCCGCTTGGTGCTTGGATCTTACATCTGCGGATGCATCAACTCCATGATACAAACAGGTTTCACCTTCAGTTTGCGTTTCTGTCAAGAGAACAGACTGGACCACTTTTTCTGTGATGTCCCAGCCCTGATCAAGATCTCATGCGTTGACACCTTTGTGAACGAGATTGTGCTGTTCGTGCTCTCTGCTGTCATCATCATCACCACCACCACCGTCATCCTGGTTTCCTATGCGTACATCCTCTCCACTGTCCTCAAGATCCCCTCGACCCAGGGCAGGAGTAAGACCTTCTCCACATGCAGCTCTCACATCACGGTGGTGAGTTTATTCTATGGAACTGTGTTCTTCATGTACGCCCAGCCTGGGGCCATCTCCTCACCAGAGAAAAGCAAGATTATAGCTGTATTCTATACTCTTATCATTCCTATGTTGAATCCTCTGATTTATAGTCTAAGGAATAGGGAAGTGAAAAATGCTCTGAAAAGGATATTGTTGAGAAAAATGCCTTTTTATTAACTTTCAGCCATCTATAAAACTGTAGAGTCTACTAAAAAACAATATTAGCAATAATTTATTATTAAGCAGTTTGAATGAATGGCATCTAAAAGTTTTGGAGGTAAACATTTATTTTCATTTTTCAATTGTCCATAGGGCTTTTAAAATTGAATTTAAAAATCAATAGGTATTTAATATTTCTACATAATTATTTTATAGTGTGATATCTAAGTATTACATAGATTCAAAACTAAAATACAGTAATACCAAATTAATACACATATTAAATTGATTAATAAAATATATGTATTTGTATGTTATGAACATCTACATTTCATCTGTCTATGAAGAGGAAAAGAGACATTATAGAATGTTCTATGTTCTTTGATCATTATTGTTTGGCATAATCCAATCTTTGCAAATCAGAATTAGAAGAGCTATGTAAAGTAAGTTATTGTCTTTGCCAAATAATCACACAAAAGAGTAGTGCCAATTTTACATTAGTAATATTGTTAAGTCATTCAAATATTAAAGATCCCATTAAGAAGAAAAAATAAGTTAATGTGGGGGCTGTTGTAAAGCTATATTGTCATCAAGGTCTTAATAGATCTTAGTTAAATGGTCAGTATTACTTACACTTATTTAGTTTCTTTTTATGTTCCCGTATCATTTTCACAATTTGTATATTAATTTAAAAATCCTTATTTTTTTCTAGATTTGAAAACTTATTGCCACAGAGTTACAATAACTGAATCCTTTCCATCTCTGTGGTTCTACATGTATTCTGTTTTTAATTCTGATAGTTTCATCCTGGTTTTGCCCCTTAGTTAGACTTGCCTCAGATTTGACTTTCTGTCATTAGAAATTTGAGTTTCATGTCATATAATTATAATGCACTAATTATAAACAATAATAATAGAAGTGCTGTCAGTAAAAGAGGGCAAAGGGATTGGGAGAAGGAGTAAAAAAGGGAAGGGAAGGGAAGTTATCAGAGAATGTGATCAAATATATGTGCATGTTCAAATATGGAATACCGAATCCCACTATTATGTATAATTATTATGCATGAATAAAAGTAAAATTTTAAGAAGTATTTTATGGTGTGGCATCTTGTTATTACAGAGTCTTTATGCTTTATTTTGCTTAAGAATATTCAAAATTGCAACATAAAACATTACAAATTTATATATATATATATATATATATATATATATATATATATATATAATTTATTAGTATAATATTGCATGTACGTCTGCATACCCTTGTAATTTATTTTTCTAAGATCTTCTGGTCATTTTCTGAATTTATGTGCTGAATGCTTAGTGACATTATTTTCAGTTTTTATTTTAATGAATTATGTTTTATAATCTTTTTAGAGTTTTCAGTGTAATTTATTTTAATTTTTACTATTATATAAATTAATTTTTTATAAACTTAATATTCTCTTTTAACCAAGCTTTACTTAGATGTGGTTTCTTGTTTAAATAGTTTACTTATTTAGTCAATCTCTTCTCTTGTTGACTTTTAGTTTTATTATAATAAATTCAGAGAATTGAAACACAAAACACCTTTTGGGTAAATTATTATACCAGGTAGACATTGAAGGTTTATTATTAGAAAATACGTGGTCGTATTTATGATATTAAAATATTTTAGAAGGATTGTCTCAGTAGCTACAGATAGAGCATTTGATAAATTTTAACACCATTCTGTGAGGAAACAAACGTATGCAAACTGAATGGGCACATATTCTAAACAGGTAAGTATTAGAAATATTTACCTTAAAATTAGGAAAGAGACAAAAATACCCATTACCCTTGATGCATTTTCATATTCTATCAGAAATCTAAAAGTGCAATATGATAATGAGTAGAAATTAAACATACAAGGGATCAGATGTGGGATTAAACTATCATTTACATGACCATTTAGGGAAGAGCTTATGACAATGTCTGGGTTAATGTACAAAAGTCATTTTCATATCTATACAATAGCAGCTAAAAGATTATAATATTTAATTTAAAGATTTTACCATTTGTTGCTGTTTAAAGCTTATCAAAATTTTAGGAATAATTTAGCAAAATATTTGTAGAAACCCTATGTGGAAAATTAGAAAATTCATTAGTTCATGTTATTGCATATATTGTTCAAAAATTAGAGCATCAACCATGTTGAAAATATATATACATATGAATATATTAAATTAAGATAATTTTGCCTATCAAAGGATGCTTTATAGGAAGTAAAAGTACAAAATACAACATGAAAGAATCTGTTCACAGTTCGTGCAACCAATAAGATTAAATACTGAACTTCTATAAGTTTATAATAAAGACACAGCCAATCAGCATAAAATAGTACATTTGGGAATGAAAAATAAATTCTGATGTAATTTAAGTTTCCTTAATAACTCTTGATGTTCAACATATAATTATAGGAAGTTTATATATTTATTTTGATGGCATGTATATTCAAATTGCCTTTGTCAAATTTCACTGCATTGATCATTTTTATTTACTGAGATTTTTAAATTTTTTTTTTTTTTTTGGTACGTTGGATTGAACACAGTGGTGCTTAACCACTGAGACACATCTATACCCCTATTTAAAAAAATTTTTTTTTGAAGCTGGGTTTCGCTAAGTTGCTCAGGGCTTGCTAAGTTGCTGAGGCTGACTGTGAACTTGTGATACTCTTGCCTCAGCCTCCCAAGCTGCAGGGATTACAGGTGTGTGCCACTGTGCCAAGCCTGGATGATACTTTTAATAAGGACACGTGATTTGCAAATGTTTTATCTGATTATGTTAGCTTTGATTATTTTATTTATTTATTTTTTGGTGATGCTGGTGTTTGAACTCAGGGTCTCACATTGCCAAGAAAATACTCTACCACTAGGCCACATACCCAGTCCTCTTTTAATTACTTTAATATCTTTCAAAAATAAGTTCATAATTTTAATAAAGTCTAATTTATAATTTTTCCTTTGTCGATTGCTCTGTGACTTTTATCTAAGAAATTATTTCATATTTTCTCCTATGATTGCAAAAAAACTTTATAGTTTTAGGTTTTGCATTTATATCTTTGTTACATTTTGAGTTCACTTTTAAATGTGGTTTGAGGTATGAATAAACTTTTACAGGAAGACCTAGAAAGTTTCTTCACCATGCTTAGCTGCACAAGAACTCAGAAGTTGTAAAGAAAAATAATAATAAAGACATAGAGACAAGTGCAGAGGCAGGAAAGTGGCTCCTTGTCTAAGTGGTCACATTTATTTATACCAATAGGTTACTTTAGGTCATTAGTACCATAACTACACTATTGTTTAGAGTATCAGTAAGGTTGCTTATTTTGCAGTTACATCCAACAGTCACAATATCCAATGTCTAGAGCTTTGTGCAGCTGTTAAGAAAATCCATTGTATAAAGTTACTGGTACAGTAGACAGATTTAGGTTCAATGAAACATTGTGGATTTCTAACAAGAGTCCCTATATTTCCAGAAGCTGTGTGCCTGATATGAAGGTCAAAGCTAATAAGACTCTAACACAGAGTTTCCTTGTGAAGGACATTGCTATAGCAGCTAAGTATCCTATGTCTTTGCACAGGATTTTCTCAGCATCCAGGCATTCCTTGTCTTTGCACAGAAACTTCCTAGCCACCAATCATGCCACAATTATGAAGTTTATAAGAGAGCCTAATCCTAACATAGAACCCCTATAAGAAGTCATTGCTGGTTGGTTCCAGGGGGCTCAACTACTGCATGATCTGGTAGCAGACCTTGGGATCATCCATGCTGTGCTGGTTCTGCAGGACTACAGGATATAATGTTAAGAGATCATGGAGGGAAGACATAGGAGGAGAGGAAAAGTGTAGCAGGGTTGGAGTGCTGACAGGATGTCCCTGAGAGAAGGTTGTGTGAAGCTGTGAAAATGAAGCCAAAGCCAGAAATTGAGATGCCAGCAACATGAACTGTCTGCCAAAAAAAGATGTTGATTGTGGACAGAGCCAGGCTAAAAGAGAGCCCATATACACTGCAAGTGGAAAAACCAGAGGCAGGGATGCCTTAAGCCTGTTGGAAATAGCCTCTCATAGCCACATATCCTGGATGCTATATGCAGCATTACAGGAATTGTTTTCCCAGCTGGGTTTGGGTCTTTTTTGACCTCATTCCTCCTTTCTGTGTCCCTATTCCTCTCTTTAGAAATTGTAATGTTTACTTTGTCCCTGTATATTGCATATATGTAACTTGTTTTTTATTTTTCTGGGAGCTCACAGCAACAATTTGCCTTGAAACTCAGAGGAGATTTTGGACTTGGACTCTGGGACAATGCTAAAAGATGATGGGACTCTTGGAGATGAACTAAATGCACTTTGCATTGTGAAATGAACATGAGCTTTTGGGAGCCAGGAGTTAAATGTTATATGGTTTGATTGTGAGGTGTTCCCTAAAAGCTCCTGTTAATGCAGAAATAATTAGAGGTAAAGTGATTGCATTATGAGAGCTGTAACCTAATCAGTCCATACTTTGAATGGACTGACTGAATGGTAACTGTAGACAGGTGGAACATGGTTGAAGGAAATGGGTCACTGCGGGGTATGCCCTGGAATGCTATATCTTTCCTGTGGCCCTTTCCCTATCCCCCATCCCCCTTGCTTCCTGATTCCACCATGAGTTGAGCAGCTTTCCTCTGTTGGACTCTTCCTTCATGATGTGGTGCCTTAGCTTAGGCCCAGAGCAATGGAATCAACTGTCTGTGGACTAGTATCTCTGAAACTATGAACCCCAAATAAACTTGTCCTCCTCTAAGTTGTTCTTGTTGGGTATTTTGGTTATAGTGATGAAAAGCTAACTAAATTTTCATAACAGTTATTTATCAAATCTAACTTTTGCAAATAGTTTCTCCTAGCCTGTGGTTTATCATTTTATTCTCCTGACTTTTTTTTCTGTTTTTCAGTGTATAGGACTTAACATATTTGGATTTATTACTAAACATTTGATATTTCAATCCTATTAAACTCTTGA